ACTTGGTTTGAGTATCAAGGGGGACCATCTTGATCATCAAGAGCCACTGAAGCCCCCTATGATGTCAATTGCTCTCAAAAAGTCTTGAGTCACCTGGCCCTTGGGAAGCTGCTTCAGCTCAGAATATTTAAAGACATTTTGGGAAGTTGCGATTGGGGGCCGTGCTCCGCTTGACGTCTGAGGACCTGGTCCAAACTCAGCCTTCCGGCCAGCCAGTTCCACCTTCCGGAGGATTGGTGCCAGGCCACCTGATAGGCATCGCGGCTAGCCAGAAAGAGTTCCTTCTGGTCTTGATCGAAGAAGTAAAGGCCTGAGGCTGGGCCGAAAAAGCGAGGCACCTCTTAGATCGGACGTCTCGAACCAAGTTTTGGCAAACCAATCGACAGCGCGGGCAACCTGGTCCGCTATTTTTGGGCTCGGCAGGCTGGCTGTGGTTTTTGGCTCGGGCGCTCGAGAAATAGCCGGCCGCGTTAAGCTCGCAATAAAAGAACCTACTAGCAATGGCCTCCAACCCAAGGCCCAATCGTTAGGCATCTTGTTGCGATTGGGAGCTGCACGTAATGCATCTTCGCAGCTATTACTTTGGTAGCTAAACCCGCTGAGCGTGTCTTTAGCCTGAAACTAGCCCGTCACTTAGCTTGGCATGTTCATGCATTTTCGGTCTATTGATAGATGTTGCAGCTTGTTTCGGCGTCTCCTGCCCTAAAGACTGTTGAATCCTCGCGTCCTTTCCCTCCTCTAGCACGTCACTCGGCAAAAAATTGGGAGGTTGTCGTCAACGAGTAAATCGCTTTGGACCACGACTAGACTTATAATGTACAATGTAGATTCTTGATTAATAAGACCCCCATACAAAGAATATGTGTCCAATTCAACTGGGTGGGTTTATTAATCAAAAGACTGCATTAAAATGCGTCCAGGCATCCACTCCGGTACTGAGTCCCCGAATCGTTCCCCTGTCCCATCTGCTGCGTAGGGTCATGGGCCTGGCATCACACCGGTCAAATCCACTCAACATCCGTTCCAATGCGAAACACTTAAGGGCTATATAATAGCGGCTTTATAGCGAGTTTATAGCAGCTATAGCCTATAGCCATCAGTGACCTGGGGCATGGGACAGAAGCCTAGTTGATTGGGCCCGGTTCTGGCTGCCGACTCCGGATCCGTCGGCTGCGGAAATCGCCCAGGCCGCCTCCCAGAACCATCGCAGCAAATCCACAAGGTCCAATTTCACTGGGTCAAAGATCACTTGGACGGCCTGGAGAGATCTCAGTGAGAAAGAACACTCTCTCTGAATCGGATCCTTCGGAAATCCTGTGGGCATTCAAAGGGCCGAATATGGCCGAATGACGGGCGCCCTTCCGATGGAAAAAAATCGTCCGATGGCTATGTCCGACTGAAGTCTCTACCCCCCCCCCACCTCCGCATGACCAGTCCTTCCCGTGACCACCTCCTCATAGGTGGGATTTGGTGTATAGCCTCCGGACCGCCGAAGCAGGATTGGGTGGGTCCAAGGGGCCAGGCTTTTGGGAAAACGATGGCTACAAACGCACGGATAGACAGGCTGAACATGTGAATTCTTGATCGTCCCTACCATGATTCTACCTTCTACCACTCATTCTACATCTTTCATCATCTTTCTCCTCTGCTTCAGGCCTGCGGCATAGCCCACCGCGGTGGAATACACTCCGCCGCCAGGCAAACGCCAAATGCCTTTCTCGCTGCCCCAGAAGCAGCCTCAGCGAGCGTCGACAAAGCCCCGCGGGTCCACCCGCGACGCTGTGCGTCCACGCGGGAATCCCGTCTTGTTATGAACGTAGCGGAGTAGCCGGCGTCCGAGCGAGCACGAGCGAGCAATACTATAGTAAGGCGAGGAGCGGTTCTACTGTAGCGTCCGAACACTCCGTTCGTAGCGATGCACGTGGTTCCGTTCGTAGCTATTTGCTCCTAGCAGTAATGCCAGGAGCTACGTTCGTAATTAGCGTCCTTGCTCCTGGTAGCGATGCCCTGTGTTCCTAGTAGCGATGCCAGGAGCTACTACATGCGGCTGATTCTCTGATGGCTCCGTTCCTGATTTTGAGACGAGACACCTGGCTGCCATAGACACATGTTGGACCATTCCGCAAATCAAAAATCACCCAAAGGAAGAACTGGAAGCAAGTCTGCAATTCCCACCCAGAAATGGAAGGGGACTGTCTTGAAACTTAAGGAAAAGGATGGAAAAGGTCATACATAATGTCTCAACATGTCTCCAATCACTGAAGAGAGTGTCTCATTGCTCTGAGTGTTGTTCAAGAAAACATGGTCTCCTCTTGCGCCCGACCTGAACCAACCATCTCCCCGGCCCTGGGGGGGCAAGACCGAAAGCAACGTCCCGCATGTTTGTTCGCCACGCTGCCATTCGCAAAGACGAAGGTCTGCATGCCTCCCAAATCAGCGAAGGATGTCAGTGAGACATCTACTGCGTACAACTTCCCATGCGCTACTCTTCATGCACCAGAAATGTCCCAACCGAAAAGACCAAGGACTTCCAATCACATCGCTTTTTCGAGATGTTCCCGCAATCTGCCTGTTCCATTGGTGTCCCAAACAGCGTCCGCACGTCTCAGAACTGAGGTCAAACAGCGTCTGCAGAACTGAGGTCACTGATCCATCTCACTCCCGACCCGCATTGACTCTTTGCCTTGGGGCCACGGTCCCCTCATGGGGTTCTGCAGCACATAATGCTTCTCGCTGACCTGATCTGTATGCGCCCTGTCGCAGCCTGTTGCATGTCCCTCCCCTCATTTGTGGGTGCAGTAGCGAAAGTCCGTGACCAAAGCTGTGCCCGGAGGGTGTTCTCAACTGCGATGTCTAGGTCGACCGTGCCATGTATGCAATTCGCGTGTTCTTTCAATTCGTGCTTGGGGGCCAGCATGTATGCAAATGTGTTCTTCGGTGAGGCTACGCACCCCGGCAGCCATCGGACCCCTCGTGCGGCTCCCGTTCGACCCCCTCTGCCCCCTCTGCGAACGCGCAGGATCCGGGTCTGAGACGAGCCATCGGGTGCTACGTAAGGGGCGCTCCTGGACTTACTACCAGTAACAAGAAGCTAGTATATAGTAACAAAGGTATCGCGACGAACGGAGCGATCGGACGCTACGTCCACTTGCTGTGTGAATCTCAGGGCCCAACTTGCATCACGTCGTCTCGCCCCGGCAATGCTTGCTCGGGACCTAGGTCTCGAAATCATGGCTTGCTATGTGGAACTCATCAGGCTTGCTAGGTGCGTGCAGCGACTGAGCAAAGGCAAATTGGGAGACTTGATGACGAGGCACGATATGATTTATTGAAGCGAACAGTAAGGAGTTTCAACGTTCCATTTCGCTGACAGCTCTTTCCAAGAAGAGTGAGCCACCCACACCTTGGTGGCTTAGCGGCTAGCTGAGAAGCCATTGATGTACAAGCTTGTGTTGTTGTCTGGCCATTGATTGTCCAAAACAAAGCCCGCAAGGAGGTGCAGCAACAAACCAGAAGCCAGAAAATTGCAAAAGCCATTGATGAATCAAGGATAATTTAGAGGCAATGAGCACTTCCCTGACAAAGTGGCTTCTTCATCAATGATTCCCCAGTCATCACAGCCTTTAAGGGGGGCCCTTACTGCGTAAGAGTTTTCAGGCTCTAGACTCTAGGCTTTCAGCAGTAGGTTCCGTAGTGCTACAGTCTGGTGAAACCCGGCAAGTGATTGGACAATGTCTAACAGTAACACGGACACATCAAACTGGTCCAAAACCAACAAACAGCTCCGGCTAATCCCAGCGTGACAGCGTTCGCCCGTAGAAAACCGTGACGGAATGCCCAGGCACTGATCATTTGACGACTGCCGGCTAAACTGAGCCGCCATTGTAAAGCTGCCTGCGACATGATTCTGGAGACCTAACAAACAGCGTCTAAGTAACTTGACATCAACGTCCACAGATTTGCAAAAAGTCCTGCCAAACCTGGGGACTGGGGAGAAGGGACTTGGACAAGCGGAGGTTAGCGGTAATAGCTCCAAAGCATCTCCCAGTGTTGGCCTGGATAGCCAGCCAGGCCCACACCATGGCAGCACACAGTCTTACGAAAGGGATAACTTGACCTGACTACAAATCCTCGCCTCTACTGAGCAAAAAGAGCTGCTAGAAGAATGGACCATGGACAATGGACAAGGAACGGAAATAAAGAATAACACCATGTAAGGTAGACTTGTTCTATCATGAGCTATCAATGTGACCAAGTTCCAGACGCTGTTGGTGTTCTCTCTACTTTCATAGTCCTCATCGTGGCCTTGAGCCAGGGATCTCACGGATCTGCAAGTGAAAGCAGGTGAACCGCGTGGCAAGAGGAATAAAGGACTAGGACTAGGGCAAGTTGCAGCAAGTACACTCACCAGCTCGCCACCAACATGCGCCAACTGCCCCTACGCTTGGCTGGCCAAGCCAATGGCTGGAAACCAAAGCACAGAGAACTCCGATGTGGAGGAGAGCTATTTTGCGTGGTGGTGCAGAGTTCTTATACATAGTGGGTTGTAGTCGCTGTGCCAAGTAGCCAGCAATTGCTAGGCGGCCGAGTACCGCGGTGTGCAAATGGCAAACACAAGTCAGCCACCAAGTGACGACAGGATGGGTCATGACTCATGACTCTAGTTCCATCTAATTCCTGCTTTTGGGGGAACGAGTGGTGTGGTGTGGAACTAGTGTTCCCCGCAAGAAACCAAAGCGACTCGTGCTTGGAGTTTGAAGGGCGGCCATCACAGCTCACACTCACACCCAACATCTCTACAAAACCCTCTGGGCCAGCAACAGTTCCATGAAACATGTGGGATGTACAGTGGTTTAGCTGCACGCCCATGGCAGGCTAAACACTTTACGTTGGAATATGATGGATGTTGATGCAGCGGGCTGCATTCTCACCATGTGGGCCATAGGTGGGCCATAGGTGTGAGGAGCCCCCCTTGGTCCCAACAAAAACCAGTGGCGTGCCTTCACTGCAAACTCTTCCAAAGCTTCAAGAACCTGGAAAACGACAAACAACCTACAGAGCTTGGAGGAGATCCTTGTAGTAGAGCGGCTGCTCTTCCTACCATTGAAACTTCTCTAACATCAATGAATTCTGGATGTTGTTAACCCACATTGATGGAGAATCAGTTCTCCCAACGACCGAAAGAAACAGCTGTCAAAACCTCATCCTCAACTGATCGGTCCCACCTTCTTAACCTGTCCGTGGTTGCTGTGCTGCAAGACGTACTCCAAGGCCATGAGAGCCTTAGACCTCGCTACGAAGCACGAGGGCCACCGTCCAGGACTCTCAGACCACCTCGATCGACTCAGTCAGTTGCAGTTTCTGTTTGTCGTGCCGGCGTGAAATGGGACGTGGACATCCCGTTTTGACTGATGTCGCATTTTGGACAAAAACAGAAAATGCTTCAAGCAAGGGATCAACTAGCTGAAGTAACAAAAACAAACTAAACAGGGGTCCATGAGCTTTGGGAAATGAAAGAGATCGCTTGCACCAGCCTTTGCGAACCTTTTCCTACTCTGCGGCATGGTTTTGTTTAGAGGCACACAATTCACTTCAGGTCTGTTGGCGAATCCGCATCGGGAAATGCTGCCATCAATGGGATACTAAAGTTACTAAAGTAGCAAATCAGCAACGGTTGACCAGGTTGGTTCTTTGTCCCAGAATTCCATACACGTTGCATGTGATCTATAGCCTGTAGCATAGAAGTTGTCAGAATATATGCAAAGGGCATCACAGCAAGGGATCCTGCTTCCATCGGTGTCTTGGATGAACAAATCTTTTCACTCTATATATATAATTGTTTGGTGTCCGCACTACTATTTGCAAGTGTCTGTTTGCGCGTGGTATGTGGCCCACAGGCAAGAGTCGGCAAGAGCGTTAAGCTTGCAGAGTCTGAGGCTCAGACTGTGCAAGTCGATTTGAACCTTCCTGGCATTGAGGCCCTTGATCCCAGGCATAACTTGGGCACACAACCCCCCGAGCCAATCTAAACAGATCTCAAAAGGATGAGATAACTTGCATCCCTAGCACTGGAACATTGATTCCCTCCACTGATGTCTCGAGCCATTGGTTGCTCAAACTGCAAAGAATGTCCAGCACTTCAGTGCGACATATTCTTTGCTTTCCACTTCAGTGATCACCACGAATGCATGTACAACATTGTGCAACGCCATGCCGTGTGGGCACGTGCTTCCGAAACTATCAACAGGAGAACCGTTAAAGAACTTGCACACGTTGGTGTGAGGTGATGTGAAGGGTATCTTTCTCACTCTCTTGATCCTTGCCACTGGTCCAAAGTTCACCCAGGACCAAGGGTCCCGGAGGAATAGATTAGACTGGTCATTTTCATGTGTGTCCAGAAGTCAGTTCGCTGCTCACGTCGATCTGACTGCTGAAAATAGTCTCACAGGGTTCACCTCTTGAACATCACCTGCACCCTTGATGGATTCATTCATGACATTCAACACCAAGCTGGCGGTGTGGTGTGACTTCCCCAGGGACAGGATGCTTTGAACTATATAGCTCAACTGTGAGTTAGCTGAGCTGTTGATTGTGCATACTCAGTCCCGATCGCACAATAACATGCAATAACCTGTACAAATTCTTATATTAATATATGATATATGCTTGAAGCCGGCACCGTAGTGTGGTCTTGAGCGGAGATAGCTAAGACATATATGAAGTATGCTTTGAGTGGCGAAGCGTGAGTAGCATTGACGCAACATACTTTCCCGGTAAAGCTGCCCAGCATGACCTGCGAAGAACCCAGAAAACTGACCGGTTGAAGCCTTTCCACTGCAAACAAAAGTTAGCATTACACTGGCCCCAATGTAGGCATATATGGCATACATGGAGTGTCTGGGTTATATAAGTGGATCATATGAATCATATGAATGTGAATTGCCGCCCCAACCCTGACCGACCATGGCCCAGGGTGCTGCAATCCTAGATCGCATTAGCCCACCCAATTGCAATACCTTGAAGTTTCTGGTTTCTTAAGAGTTGCTTTACCATGCCCAAACGTGTGGAGTCCCACACGCCAGAGAAACACTCCAGAGAGAGAGAGACACACACAGGCAACAACTGAACCCAACACCGGAACTGGAACCGAAACATCGCCTCGATGGTTGCCACCGAAAGGTCTCCAAGCAAGAGGCCTAGCAGCTGTGTAGTGGAGCAAGAGGCTCGTGAGATCCAGAAGGCATGCTGAAAGTCGCAAATGACTGCATGGCACGCTCAGTCAGTCTCAGAAAGTAGAACGTGATGCAGATCACCACCTGGTTTCCTTCCAAGTGCCCAAACGATGCACCCCTTCGGGTGATGCCCTCTCATGGGTACAGTCCACCCTATGCCCGGTGGGCGCCGGCCTCGGGCATAGGCCCGGAAGGGTCTGCAGGCATGGGATTCCATGAGGAACTCCACGGTGATGCCTTGCAATCAGACTTGCCATGCAATCTTCGTGACGACTTGCCTTGAAACACTTGAACTGGAGAAACCACTTTAAACAAAGAAGGAAGTTGGTTGACCACAGTACCACTTTGTTAACGCCAGGTCCCCACTAAAATGATGCGACCATCACCGCTACAGAGACATTATTTTACTGAACAAAGGGCGCGTCTTCCTAAGGGTGGGGATGGGTGGGGGTGTTCTTCGTTACCATCTTCCGTATGATACACTCCCGAAAACCACCTGTTTGTAGTGGATTTCATGGTCTTCCGAACTCGGGGCCATTCTCCACTTCCATGTTAGTTCCAGGGAGTGTATGTATGATTCTAAGACGTGCCCATCTCTCGATCCACCGGTCAAACGTCGCCCGCAACCGCAGCTGGGGACCGCCTCTCTCTCCACGTCGCTCCGCCTCGCAAAGGATGGGCGACAAACCTGGCCAGTGCGACCATCCTTTGCATATCAAATACTACATGGGGTGCGACCGAAATCCAGTGACGCAACACAACAGTGCGAGCCTCTTTTTTATATTATGCCCTTATTAGAAAATATCCCAAATGCACGAAGGATCTTTGGGATAGGGTTCAAAGCACATCGAAGAAAATGACCTAATCGAACTCCCCAACAATCGCCGAGGTTGACTCGAAACCATGTTGGACACACTCACACGATTCAAGGATCTCGGAGGTTTCAAGGGTCGCAATCAAGCCATGTCTCATTTGGAGGGTGCCCCTTGGCTCGACGTTGCCATATTACAATCATACATATACTTTCAAGATACTTTCATTCATTGAAGGATTGTGTAGGTCGAAAATGTCAAAAAAACATCGTCACTGCAAACATGACTCTGTCCACAAATGGTGTGGGAAGCATGGATTGTGGGCAAGTGCTTCTGTCATTCTTCGTTTGCACAACTCCCATCAAGCCAAAAAGGATGGATGATCGGAAGTTGAAATGGTTTTTGAGATGGCTTGGGCAGGAGCAGCTGCTGGACCTAGGGACAAACAGATTTCCTAACTTTTTCCCGAAGGTGGAGCGATCTGCGTTCAATCTGCTTTGCAGATACCGAGCTCCGGCTTGACTAGATGGAGGCTGGGAAAATGAGCATTGATCTGCCCTGAGGGTTAAAACAAAGTGCAAGAGATGTTACCCATGCAGGTGGGTTATGTCTTGATGTGTCTTGTCAGCCTATGGTCCATCATAAATGGTCTTAGTGCCCGCTTTGAACTTGAGACAAGGTCCACCCTAGGAACTAACAAGCATCCACTTCATGAACGAGAAACCTCTCTCTCCCTCTCTCTATCAAATTGCCCCCACCTCTCTTCACCTTACTTCACCTGGCAGACCTCCATCAATCGTTGGGGAACCCTATGCAGGATCCCTCAACCAAGGACTGCTCCTCAGACTCCGTGTGGTCGTCGCAGCCTCACGCCAGGTCGTCCAGGAGGGAGTTCACAGCCCTCTCCACGACCCAGTCGTGATCCTCCAAGGCCACCGACGCCACGTCCCGGTCCACGCCCGTGAAGTTCACCACCATCTGGCAGCGCTTGTCGCGGCGGGACGGCTGGAGTGTTCACCGGGTGACCCTACCGGATTCCAGTGCTCCACAAACTTCTGTCCATCCAACATCGCCGAACTATCGCTTTGTGCAAAATTGCGGGGAGTTGTGAATTGAGGGTTCAGGGCTAAGGGTTTGGGTTTGCGATATAACGATACGATACTGGTCTGGACGTGCGTGCGGGGCCTCCACTTTTCCTTGCCGCTGCTCCTCCTCTGACAACCTGAGGGCCACTCCAAGCTACTTTGGACTGGGAAACATGTCTAGTGGTCCAACAAGAATGTCTTGGGCTGTTATTTCTTGCCGGATGGGGAGTATGCAAGCGCCTGCGCCATATATGTAACTTCCGCCCAATGCAAACACGCAGCAACCCAAAAACCTGCAGCCAACAGGGTGTCCAAACAACAGTGCTCAAAGGCACAGTTCAAATAGACTAATACCAGCCATACAAAATACGTCTATATTCCATATTAATGGGATGGCATGTCATTGGGATCAACTCAGTCCAGCCCATTCTGTCAATGTCCGCTCCCGCTACTTCACGCTATCGCTCTGCACTGCCTGACGTCAATGCCTAATGCGGGCCTTGCACCTTCCCAGGCCGAAACTGTGGCCACAGAATCACGACCAGGCACTCGACCAGGCCAGACACCATGCAAAACATGAGCCTATTACACTCGTTGAAGCAATCATGGAAGTGGAAAACCCCCATTTTGGACCTGTTTGGCAGACCCCGACCCCGGCACGTTCTCCAACATGGCGAGCCATCAGGGGCCAGTAGCACTCCTCAAATTTTGTCAACTTCAGCAACACATGCGTTCCACGTCGAAGGCGACCTTCACGCTGAGTTTCCCGAAGCATCCGCTCAGCTTCCTCCGAGGACACCTCCATGATTTGCCAGATTCGTCAGAAGGTAACCATACTGCAGCTTCATAGATTCCTTCCAAACATCCAAGCTCCTCCTCACCTCCGCTTGGCTGCAGTTTGATGCACAACCTCATCCTCCGATGCACTGGCTTTGATCCCATCAGTTCTCCAGGTCTAACAAGACATGGTGCACCTCATTGAGCCCCCAGCTCGTTGAATGTCAATTTTTCCGCGGTCTTCTCCGCGAGCCTTCCCCTTGGTTCCCCAAAACGCCGACAAAGGAGCTTTAGCTCCCGGGCGCGGTTCCATGACCATCTCCTCCAGGTTTAGGAGTGATGGAAAATCCGCATGGATCCATCTTCATCCTCTTTTTTCAGCCCCCCCCCTGAAGTAGCACCACATGGAAACGTCACCCATCCAACCTTGCTTCTTCCTGTCACACCTGTGACCGTGGAATTCATTCCATAACTTGACCTCCTGGTTGAAAGGAATAAGTCTTGGTTTCACTTCCATGATTATGTCGGGGAGTAAAAACGTCCTGCTGCCCGGCCACGTTCGCTCCAAGCGCGGCTCCCGCGCCGGTGCCGCTCCAGCGGGAGGAGCGGGCTCAGGGCGCCTGGAGCGGGCTCAGGGATCGTGGAGGGCATTGGATTGATCAATCGGATTGGCAGGGACTCATGATGACTCATGGAAGGGTTTTGGATGTTGCACAAACATCTTAGCCGTCCTAGGTCCTAGCTGCTAGGCATGCCAACAGCCTTCCACAAACCTCCTTTAGGTCTGTGTCACCCTGTCTGTGTCATGTTCTTTTCTTGCTCAGCTCCGCTAGACCAATGGTTCGCAGATTGGTGGACCCCACGCATGAAAGGACTGCCTACCTTGCTCAGCTCATAGGACCGGGTTCAGCAGTGAATCTGTCAGTTCTGCAGAAAGGAATCCATGCAATGTAGTACCTCACCTTCGCAATGGGGAATGTCGTAGCTATATAACTAATCCCAGGATGAAATGTATAAACTTCTGCACTATTTTCCGCTCAAACACCAGCGCGTGGGAATGGAAGGGGGTCAGAATACAGAATATTGAAGAAAAAGCTGATAAATCAAGAACAAAAACATCCACCACCCCTCCTCTGCAACCATCACTATCAATGACCTCACCACTTGGCTGCACGTCGCCTGGACTCCTCAGAAGGCAATAGCACCTCGCCAGCTGCGTACTTGGCTTCGGCCTTGGAGCGAAGAAATCGCCGGCTCCAAAAGAGTGAATGCTCCGAAGTAGATCATGGAAGTGGATCGCACCTGTTTGGTATTCGGATTTCATGTCATCCAAGGGCCATCCAAGATATCCAAGTAAGCAGTTTTACCATGATGACTTCAGGGAGTCTAAATGGTCAAGGGTTGCCTTTACCACTCGATTACTTCTCGCAAAGAACTCCTAACAAAGCCGCCTTGCAGTTCTCTGTAGGTATGCGAGGCCAAGCCTGCTCTCAGGCCAACAACTCTTCCATTTCAGCAAATTCATCTTGAAAAGTACTACGTGCGGCGTATACATAGTGATCCCCAAATAGATAGAAACGGTTTCCAATACATTTTTAGTGGGAAAATACGTTTCTATCTATTTGGGGGTCTATATATATATATATATATCCGTGTTTGGATCCTGATTGGTGCATCATGTTACATAGTATAGCAGCATATGTTCCAAACCCTAAGGCTCTAGAGTTGTTCTGGGGGGTTCGGATAATCAAGCTGTTTCTTTCCAGATCGGTTGCTCACGGTATGTTTTGTTATGTGTTGTTCTTTCTTGGTTTTCAAGTGCATGGCTATGATCACCACCGCATTGTCTTTTGGAGCATGCCAGGGCTGCACCGATGTCCGTTGATTGTTGATTGTTGTCTTTTCAACCTGCGAGATTTCCTCACGTTCATGGAGGACATCAAAAGCGACCGTGTCCTGTCGGTCGAATGGGTTGCATAAACATCATACAAAACATGCCAAAGCTTGCGTAACATACACCTGCCGCAGGTGAGCTCTCAATTTTTTATTTATATACTGGAAGCAAAATGGCCTCTCTCTGTGTCTGTGAAAGGTGCGAATCATACGTAGCAAGGCCTGCGACAATAGACCACTAAACGGTCAAACCTCACAGGAATTCTTGGAATTCCCAATACCGGGCGCCCCTGGGTGCGCCTCCTGCAAGCTAAAGCCAGCCCGTAGAAAGCGCTGGATCTCGAAGGCCCTCTGTGTCCTCCAAGTGGCGAAAATGACATGTTTGAGCAAGTTCTGGGCGGTGCTTGAGTGATTTGACTGAGGGAACTGGAAACACTTTGGAACACGCGGAAGCGATTCTCTTGGGAAAAGAAGGTGTCCATGGATCCAGGCTGGAAGTGCTAAGTTTAGAACACACAAAAAATGCAAAAAACATAACCTTCGCAACAAGTGTTACTGTACCCTCCGAGCCATTAACATGGAAGTGGACAGCCATCTGTGAGTAGAAAAAGACTTATAAATAGAATTTTTGCCATGGCCTTACCACCATTGTCCACTTCCATAATGATGTCAGAGAGTGTAAAAGGTTTGCCTTGCTCGGATTCTTGTTGGGTTTGGGTTTGGATGGCCGAGCTGGGCTTGAAAAAAGCCGCAATGGGACGAGTGGAGCACGTTTGATCCACGGTTTTACGGTTGTGCACTTCCCTTGCCTGGCCATGACCTCCTCTTCATTGAGCTCCGGCAGAACCGAGGACAAGGCCTCCAAGAAGGAGATAGGGAGACTTGACACACACCATTCTTAGGTCATCAGAGGTCATCAGCGCTTCCGAGTGGTCAAGAAAATGCCCAGCCAGGCCACGCAATGAAGCGACAAGTATGTCAAGTCGAGCATCGAAACCTGAAAGCAAACGTGCAGAGTTGTTCGCTCGTTTGGTCACCTCGGGTTCCGCGCTCCCACGCGCCAGAGGCTCCTGCACCGAGCTCACACGAGAAGGCGCGGCCCGAAAACCATCCGCGGATATCCACGGACAATCCAAAACTCATTGATCTGACAGAAACTACCTCAAGACAAGAGGCTCCCAAGTCGCCAAGTAAAACGAAGTTGACTATGGCTATGGAGAAACCGACAACAGCACCAGTCGAATGGTCCAAGTGGTGGAATGTGCATGGATGTTGGGTGTGAACGATATGGGATTATGATGGTTTATGATGGTTTATGTGACTTTCTGTGATGCATTGGCACAAGGAGACGAAGGACCTGCTCTTTCATAAAGCTCTGCGAGCTTAGCTAGCAGCCACATGCGAAAGCTCCAAAGCCCACCTGACCTGAAATCTGCCTCTCCACCCCCCAACACCAAAACCCTAGGCTTCTGGGCTGCTTAGGACCAATGAGCTCTTCTACATCCACATAATAATAAAATAGTAGCGTCCTTGCTCCTAGTGGCCATGCCCTGTGTTCCGTTCGTAGCTTCTTGTTACTAGTCGTATACGGCCAGGTTATGCGCCCCGTATACGCAGCGTCCGATCGCTCAAAAAAATGGCATTCACGCCGACGAATGCCATTAAGGAGCCTCAAACACCTTCGCCCAGTACTCGCTCCTCCTCGGCGAGACGCTCGTCCTCGTCTGGTGGTTGCTCTTCTTGGACGCTCAACGTGCTGCGGTGGAAGTCTCTGGTGATGAGATCGCCTTCTTTCAGCACCTGTGATGACGGTGGGGGCCTCTGAAGGTTTTCAGTGAGAAGACACCAAGGCTCGTAGGAAGCATTGCGAAAATACATTCACCTGCAAGAACCAACAGAATCACAATGTGTTCACTCCAAGGTTTGCCATGTTGTATACTTTCACCATTCATGTCGACTCCGGGAGGGGGTTGTGGCGGGCGGGGTGCATGTCAGCCAGTTCCTTGGACACAGTGACATGAATGTACACGTCGGTTCAATGGCGCAGTGTTCTTCAAGAAAGACTCAAAAAGGAAGCTGTCCTTTGGATGCAACGCTCTTACAGAAAATACATGCCAACAATCTTGAAAATTACTGACTCTAAATATCGTCTACTTCCCTGACCTGAGCCAGCCACCCTAAACCGCCTCCTACAGCGGGATCGCACTCGAAAAAAAGGCAAGGGCGTTCGGCCCGGCAGCGGGATCGCACTCGTCTTCCAATCCTCCGCACCTTCTTGGGGTAGGCCATCCGCAAGTAGATGCCCCATGGATGCGCTTTCTTGGCCCAGTCCGTCTCCAAGGCTAAAACCATGAGCTGAGCGATCGAACCGCCCTCTGGAAACTGGCCTGAGCGGCTGAGCGCGAATGCACCGAAAGAATCAAACACAAACATGTCTGTCATGTCACACATGTCTGCCGTATGTGTATATAATATATATATATAAGGTCCGAATCATGACCATTCAGAATCCAATCTTTTCCACCTCATTTAGGGATGCACGACCCCACGTCAACATATTCATCATATTTGCCGGGTGGACGTAATCAAATGGTCTATAATGGCCGGAGTTTGTACCCCAACGCCCTTGAGCGATTGCACGCTTTCGCTTCTTCCTCCGCGATCGCTTCTCCCCAATTGCCTTTGACTTGCGTACCGTCCGGCATCCGCAAAGCGATGTCCACGTTGCCTGGATCATGCACGCACTGACTGGCATCAATTCTTCATCGGGACGAATGTGCACGAGCTTTCTCGGGGAGCCGCTCGCGCGGGTCGAATGACTTGGCTGAAACTCATGCGACTGTGAAGGATCCAAGTTGGGAGTTCACTTATTCTAGTCCATCCAACTCTTATAGCCAGGCAGGGGCAAATAGCAGGTTGAGCTGTCATTGGTTTTGTTCAACCATGTTCAACCTTCTCATGCTCCTTTGGCGCACCAACCGCCAAAGCGCCTCCCGAGGGAACATCCAGCGCCGGTCCGGTGGCGTTGCTCCGGGCGCTCGAGAGCAGCTGCTCGTAGCGGCGCTGCCGCGCCGCGGCTCGGCGCTGCTCCAAGTCCTCGGTGTCGCAGAACATCCGGGTGCTGTTCTAAAGTGCCCAGGGCAGTAGTAGCTAAAAGCATGTGCATGGTTTGTGTAAAGAGTCCCACTTGGACGAGTTTTAGTGAGTTTTTTGCGTGTCCCAGGCCATCGAGAATCAGGCGTGTCTTCCCATGAAAACAGTATAGTCAAGCAGAATGAGATACAATGGGTTACAGTGGTAGAATGAGTAGATGGCACTGGCACCCCAAAGAGGTTTTTGATATGGAGGTCGGACAACCACCTAACTTGGGGATTGCGCCATCGAACCTTTTCTCCCGAAACCACTGTAAGCGGTCTCCACCGGGCCCCACACCGAAGCGACCGTTCACCGTTCACTCGGCACGACCGTTCACCGGGCACCTGCTCTTTCTGCTTGGACTTCTCCCTCCGGAGTTTGAGAGCTGCTACCGCGCGATCTTGAAACTCCTCCGGGTCCAGGGTCGAACCCAAGGAACCTGAACCCTAGTGACCTAGTGACCTAGCCCTTTTTGAAGGCTTTGTCAGCATCAGTCACCAGTCTTGTTGATAGCTGATTGAGCCATCTTTCTGCTTTCGCCCTCCTTGTTTCGCCCCTGCCTTCTTGGCTGCCTCATCTTCCAAGTCGGGAGCGGGCTCGAAGTCAACCTCCCATAACAGTCACATAATTGAAAGAAAGGCAAGGAGATCCACGGCCAGTTGCTGATGGCGCCCAGTTTGGTTTTCGTATGTCGTCTTCGTGCACGAGAGCTCGACTCAAAAGAACCTCCCGACGCGGCGGTGCACAGCCTTGAACTCGAAATGGTGCTGCACATCAGAATCCTCTGCTCGTGGAACACCGAAGAAGTGTTGGTCCGGAGGTCACCCCAATGTCCCAATGCGAAGCTCGCCACATTCGCAGTGCGGCAACAAGTTTTGAACAGGGATCACGACCCCCCAAAAAAAGAAAACAATACCAGGAGCCAAGAAAGTTGAAAGTTGCACAAGAAAAAGCACACGAAGAACAAGGGCAGGCTTCGGCCACCAAAAGGACCAGGACCAGGTGAAATCAACCCGGGGCTGGGACATGTGCAAAGTTCATTCGGCCGGGAAGGTCAAACATGGCAACATACGGCAACCCTCCACATGTATCTTCATATTCTTCATGGCAATATGACTCACCTCTTCTCAGCCGCCGCTTCATCGACAAAAGCGAAAGCCCAGCGGCAATGATCCGCACGGCTGCCCGAGGGAAGAGCTTGGTGACTTGCACATGGAAGAACCTCTGGCTGTGCTCAGCCTTGGAAGAACCTCTGCACCCAGGTCATTTGTCTTTTTGGGGGGGGGTGGAGAGCCCGAGAATTCTTGCATGAACACTGGCAATCCGCTACTCCTAGTCCAAAGCTGCTTCTAGAAATATCTACAGTAGAAGGAAAATGTCTCCGACCCTGCCCGGTTGGGTGCAGCTTAATAGGCTGGCACCGAGCTGTCAAAGGTTGCCATAGCAACACAACATCAGGAATCAGGAGGAATGGCAACTAAGTATGCCAGCATAGATCCCACAACACGCCCCTCCCAACACAAAAGAGTCTAGAGCATGGGAACGGCAGCAAGAAGCTACGTAACGTTTAAGAGTAATTGTATGTAATTATAGAAGGACAACCGGAAACTAAACATAGGGGATGGTTACAGGCCCCCCCACTCAAAGAATTAGGCCAACCCCTATCACAAACACAAAACCTGCACAAGCTCGCACGGACAGATGCGAACTGAAAAGGGTCGTTTTCTGCGGATGGAGGACAAGACCTGGATAAGCATAGACAGGTGTGGGGCGGAGAGAAACAAAGAAACCAAACCCGGACACAAACACAGGGTTTCTTCCGGTGCAACCACAGACTGCCAGCCTGTTTATCATCAGAGAACCCGAAAGGTAAACATGGTAAACTGGTTTGGCGGAAAAATCATTGCTGCATGCAATCACACCATCGCTCTCATAAAGCAGGACTTCAACATACTTCAACCAAATGATGTGCTCAATCCGATGTTTAATGTTTGATATCACCTTGTACCAACCCTCGCAACGTGCACGTGCCAAAAGTCCAGCTTCCAATCCGGTCCTTCTTCCCATTCGGCCCTTTTCACGCACCGAGCGTCGACCCGCCCACATCGATGGGCACTGCAGTGTCCTGGCCAACGATCCACTCCTCCGTGCCCCTCCTCCGCGTCCCACCGCCGTCGGCTTGGATCATGCTTCGTTCAAAACGAAAGAAGAACCCTCCGACTTCGCATGTCAAAGGGGGCATGTTTCTTCTGCAGCTAGGCGATGCACACGGCCGGTCCAAATGGTCTTTCCAAATCCTTGTCCTGAAGGTTTTATGTTGGTAAACAATATTAGCATATACAAGTAGTTCCCGGGCAAGCCGGCGGCGGAAGTTTCCTATAAGAAGAAATTGACCTATAGGAGTGTCCACGTTCTCTCCACCATGCGTGTCCCTCGTGTCACTCACTGAGCCAAACGCATGCGCTCCGGACTTTTGACACACACACACACACACACACACAGCGCCACCTGTGCAATATCTGTGCTCCCTGCAGGATCAGCGCACTGGGTTGTGTCTATGCCAAAGCAAGATCACCAGCCCACACCGGCGTGCTGAAGCAACTGGGCATCTGCAAGCGGAAGTTAAGTGCAGCTGGTGCGGGCACGCGAAGTGGGTGGTGTTTTCAAAGTCAAAATCATGTCTTCATTGTCCAGCTTGCCAAATACTCCGCGTACTTTACAGTTGTACTACAAAGTCGCCAGTTCTCATTTTCCAGCTCCCCAGATACTCAGCAGCGAGAGATGACTCACCAGCGAGAGATGACTCAGCAGTGAGAGATGACTCAGCAGCGAGAGATGACTCAGGAGCAAGAGATGACTCACCAGCAAGAGATATCAAGAGATGACTCAGCAGTGAGACAGGACTCAGCAGCGAGAGATGACTCAGCAGCGAGAGATGCCTCATCCGCATACTAAAGTTGTACTACAAAGTCGCCAGTTCTCATGGTCCAGCTTGCCAGATACTCCGCGCACGACAGTTGCACTACAATGTCGCCAGTTCTCAGCTTCCAGCTCACACATTGCTCCGCGTACTAAAGTTGTCCTACGAAGTCACCAGTTCTCAGCTTCCAGCTCCCCAGATGCTGTGCCTGCCACGAAATCTGCCCATGGAGGTTCACAAAGTGCTGCGCCTGCCACGAAATCTGCACCTCGACGCTCACAAAGTGCTGTGCCTGCGAAGAAATCTGCACATGGGCACAAAGTGCTGTGCCTGCCACGAAATCTGCACATGGAGGTTCACAAAGTGCTGCACCTGCCACGAAATCTGCACATGGAGCTTGAGCTGGTGTATGAGCGGTGTATGATGAGTGGTGTATGATGAGTGGTGTGTGATCAGTCGTGTATGATGAGTGGTGTATGAGGAGTAGTGTATGATGAGTGGTGTATGATGTCGCCAGTTCTCATCGTCCAGCTTGCCAGATACTCCGCGTGCTAAAGTTGCACTACAAAGTCGTCAGTTCTCAGCTTCCAGCTCTACAGATTGCTCCGCGCACTAAAGTTGCACTAGAAAGTCGCCAGTTCTCACCATCCAGCTCCACAGATACTCCGCGTACTCAAGTTGTACTACAAAGTCGCCAGTTCTCAGCTTCCAGCTCTACGCTTGCTCCGCGTACTACAGTTGTACTAGAAAGTCGCCAGTTCTCACCATCCAGCTCCACAGATACTCCGCGTCGTAAAGTTGTACTACAAAGTCGCCAGTTCTCCTCGTCCAGCTCGCCAAATACTCCGTGGACTAAAGTGGTACTACGAAGTCGCCAGTTCTCAGCTTCTAGCTGCACAGATGGCTCCGCGTACTGAAGTTGTACTACAAAGTCGCCAGTTCTCATCGTCCAGCTTGCCAGATACTCTGCGTACTCAAGTTGTACTACAATGTCGCCAGTTCTCAGCTTCCAGCTCTACAGATTGCTCCGCGTACTAAAGTTGTACTAGAAAGTCGCAAGTTCTCAGCTTCCAGCTCCACAGATACTCCGCGTACTAAAGTTGTACTACAAAGTCGCCAGTTCTCAGCTTCTAGCTGCACAGATAGCTCCGCGTACTAAAGTTGTACTGAAAAGTCGGCAGTTCTCAGCTTCCAGCTCCACAGATACTCCGCGTACTAAAGTTGTACTACAAAGTCGCCAGTTCTCGTCGTCCAGCTCGCCAGATACTCCGCGTACTAAAGTTGCACTACAAAGTCGCCAGTTCTCAGCTTCCAGCTCCCCAGATGCTGTGCCTGCCACGAAATCTGCACATGGAGGTTCACAAAGTGCTGTGCCTGCCACGAAATCTGCACATGGAGGTTCACAAAGTGCTGCGCCTGCGCAGAAATCTACATGGAGGTGCACAAAGTGCTGTGCCTGCGACGAAATCTGCACATGGAGGTTCACAAAGTGCTGCAGCTGCCACGAAATCTGCACATGGAGGTTCCCAAAGTGCTGTACCTGCCACGAAATCTGCACATGGAGGTTCACAAAGTGCTGCACCTGCCACGAAATCTGCACATGGAGGTGCACAAAGTGCTGTGCCTGCCACGAAATCTGCACATGGAGGTTCACAAAGTGCTGCACCTGCCAC